ATTCCCCTTGAAACATGATATGCTTGAGTCAAAAACTGAACTGTTTTCAAATATTAAAAAAAAGTATATACGCATAGTCAATTATTTTGTTAACCTACATTTAAGAAATGTTTATGCTTTCCACCTTGTCCAGTGCCTTTCAACCCCTACTTTATTTGGAATTGGAAAAAATCTGCGTGTTTCTGCCTTTACTGTGTCTCAGATACTTTCTTCCTTTTTTTTTTTAATTTATTTTTTTTTTTTTTTCCTGATCTTCTCCCTTTTTCTGCTGTCACTGTTGCCTGTTTATAATTTCAAGCCTTGACCTACACGGCCGCATACTTCTTCCTGGCTCTTTGTAAGGAAATGTTAATTTTCATTCCTACCCTATGATTGTTTCCTTAAGTTCCCCAGTCAAATTTCTTTTAGCAAGAAGCTGATTAGCAGCGTTCTTGCCTGGGCTAGAGTGTAGAGTGCCGTGGCATCACTGTAAATTCACCGCAACCCCAAACTCCTGGGCTCGAGCGATGCTGCCTCAGCCTCCCAAAGTGCTGGGAAGACAGGCATGAGTAGCTGGGTGGGCCGGATTAGCAGAGTTCCTGTGCCCTGTCACATCAGAGGACCTGCTGGAGAACTTACTAATCAGCTGCCCGCTGGTGAGATGCCCACTACTGCCTCAGCCAGGGAGGGTGAAAGCAAAAACAGCACTGGCAGAAACAGCCCTCTCTTCACTGTCTTCACAGGCTACCGGTAGGTAGAGTGGTCCCTCTCTCCTGCCCTCCCCGCCCCGCCCCTCACTGGGGGTTAGCAGGCACCGTGAGTGACAAGGCCAGTGCATGGTCTGGTTCTCAGATTTGAATATGTGTATTGACCAATCGCAGTGCAGAGAAATGAAAGTCACGGTGTTTTGACAATGACTCTTCTTTTTACCAGACAAGTCCATGGAGTATTGTAAGCACATCATTCTGAACCAACTAAAATTCTTTCAGGAATGGGTTTTTATTGACTTATTTAAATTGTGGGAAGGAGAATGAAGAATCTCCCTGACAGTGCAAGGTGGTTTTGTTTCTATTTTATTGTCTTCTTGGGATGTTAGGAGTAGGTCATCTTTCCCAGCCCTCTCCTTGTAGTCAAAAAGAAATAGAAGGCTCAGCACAGGAAAGAGACTCATTGGGGATCACGAAGATATTTAACAGCAGAAGGGGACTGCAGCCCAGCTTTGCTTGGTTCCTGGGAGAGTGTGGTTGGCTCTGTGTGTTTGCAAATGTGTAAAGGAGACTCTTTTGCACAAAAACAGAGGTTGAAAGAATATGTGAGGCCTAGGGAAAAATGGATTCTGTGATGAAGAACTTGGACTTTATTATAACTGGGCCTCAAGGAGATGGAACTGTACCCAGGGCAGCTCTATGAATTTAAACCGTGGGAATCTGCGTGTTTTGTTTTGTTTTGTTTTGTTTTTGAGACAGAGCCTCAAGCTGTCCCCCTGGTTGTGGCTTAATCCACCTATGATGTAGAAGGATAGGGAGAAGGGAATGAAGTAAAACTATGAGACAGGGCTGGGGAAATACAGGTTAATGACTAGTCCTCTCTGGAGTTCTCTATAGATCCGTGTTATCTATAGCAGGGTAATCAAAATTTATGACTTTCATTTTAAATATCTCCCTCCACAGAGAGTGAACGAGAGCAGTGAAAAGCAGTTTCCATTAGGAGCTCTTTTTATTATAATTTAAAATCTAAAAGCCATTTTAAATTTATATGAGTAAATATAACCACTTTGTTTAATCCGCATAGGTTAAACAATATTATTTTGCTGGTATTACTTGAGTCCACAGATTATGTGAAACGCACATTTAAAACTTAATCTCAGTGGGTTATCCTTCACCTTCTACTCTACCGTATTTTGAAGGTTGTTCGTTTGTCGCTGGCTTGGTTCACTCTGTCCCTTCATGGTTAATGCTGTTGGATTACAATTTTGATACCTGGATTCGATTTGTGTAGCTGTGCAGGCCATAAAGTCCCAGGAAATAAAACCAGAGTCCGTGTCATGATCTCACTGAGTGTGGACAGGAGTGGTATATTAATTACTCCATGGTTTCTGATTTACAAGGTAAAGCAGAGAATTCTTTACCATTATATAATTCCTGGCAAAAACTTATAGGGTTCCTTTTTTTTTTTGAGATATAGCCCTGGGTAGAGTGCTATGGCGTCATAGCTCACAACAGCCTCAAACTCTTGGGTTTCAGCGATTCTCCTGCCTCAGCCTCCCAAGCAGCTGAGACCACAGGCACCT